ATTTGTGACTTCCTTTTTTTCTAAATTAGTAGAAGGTAAGCAAACCATTTTATTGGAGCCGTTCCAGATGAAACCTATGAATTTTTGCTTCTCGGCAAATTCCGTGCACTTCTCCACGCTAGTTGCCACCCCTAGTTTGACAGATCTTTTTGCTATTGTGTTCATGTTGCAGAGTGAACTTTTTGTTTTTAAAAAAGGTTATCATCAACCCAGCGGAATGTCTTGACAAAGTCAAACTCTGATTGCATAATCTGTTTCCAAGCCTCTGCTGGTAAGCCAAAAGATCTGCACCCGGTGACCCCTCCAAAAGTGATCCTGGTGTTGATATCAAGTTCTCTGTTAAGATCCTTCACCATCAGGTACCTCCACTGATATTTCTTGGTTGGAATCTGTCAATAAGCTTTTGCCCAATCAAACAGTGCAAGGTCAAAGATTTCTGAGTGTGAACCAAAGAAATTTGATACAACCTTGAAGTCGTCCCATGTAGTCGTGAAATCCAATTTATTCACAAACAAATTTACCAATTTTATATCACTGTCTCTCTTGGGGAAGGATACGTTGTTGATTGGTTGCATTTTCCCATCAGTGTTAACCAGCAAACTCAAGGGGCTTGTTCTAAAAAATGTGAAGTCCCACCGCCACCTCTTCTGTGATTGCTCTCAAGGTGATGAAGAAAGATCAGTGATTGTTTGTTCACACCAAATGAGTTTGGGTCCACTCATCGTGGTATGCTAAGCCTCTGTAGGCTTTGTCTTCAGAGGATTTTGATGGCTTGAGCAACATGTGCACCATGAGGGCTTTCTTTTGCCATTCTGGTGAGGTGCAGAAAAAAAAGAACACAAGTGTCAACAGAAATAGAGCTTTATTGTAGTCTAGTCGCCAGAAAATCACATACCTCTGTCAAAAATGGTCAAAGGAATCAGGGCTCTTAATTTACAAATATTTTCTTCAAAGTATGGAGTAAAACCTATGTCTTGGTGACTGGTCACCTCCCCCACCACGTACACTATTTTGTCTTCTGTCTCTGTATGGGTAGAAGATGGTCGCTTTGCATCCGGATATCCGCTCTTAATTTCAGCAGCATTAGGCAATTTTGGCTGGAAATTAAGAGCGGATATCCGGATATCA